GTGACTACGTCATCTCTATGGACTATGCCAACAAGCCAGCGATGGTTTATGAACTTATTGCGAATATCTAACGTTAAATTACAGCAGTATTAGCCGATTTATACTTGAAAACCGTCGAAAATTGGGTTCTGCCTATGAACTTCTGCAAGAGTGCAAATCGAGTTCCATATACATATAATGACATCGAATGTACTTTCACAGGAATAGATAATTTCATTGAATTCCCCAACCGTTTTTGTACTGCTGTAGCACTCTTATTGAAAAGCCGTTATATTAGCATTAACCCACAGATGTGACGACTCTTACAGTAGGGGATGAGACTAAGGAACAATAAAAATCCAGTTAGAGGAGATTTGAGTTTCCTTAGTCTTTAGATCATTACTATTTTTTGAACTGTAGGGACGCCCAATCAAATACTCTTCAACAATAGTAAAAATAATAGSAAACAAGAAAAACTTTGTCTTAAATTGCACCGAAGCTATAATACCCTTTACAAATAAAAGTAATTTTTACACAAGAACTTCATTTGGTTCGTATAGTTTGTTATGGCATCATGTAATAGTGATGCGTCTTGAGAAAAAAAGGACGTGTGCCAAATTTTAGATCGACATCTCAAATATTATAAGACAATTTCGCTTATTCACAGGCAGACGGACTTGACTAAATCGTATCAGCTCGTCACACTRATCATTTATGTACAATTTATAGGGTATCCGACGTTTTATTCTGGGTATTACAAATATGGTGGTAAACTTAATTTAGAATAAAAATATTAACAAAAACATGTAAAGGAAGAAGTAATTATTCTTTCCATAAAGACACAATTTAATAGCTTACCTTTACTGCCTCATCGTACAGCGCCTCAGTGATCGTTACAATCTCCAATTCACCTTAGAAAAGCAAAGTAATTTAAATATTGATTTCTGTTATTGAAAATAAACCATTAGAACTACCATTGCTTATAATATTCGAAGGCTTATCGGTCATTCTTTTTATTTCGTACTAAGTTCCCAAATGTGTAAGTATATAATAAATGTTGTCCAAAATGTGAACAACTTTCCTATTTAAAAGTCAAAGATACCGAAAAACAAGCAATGAACACAAAAGCGCCACCAAAAAACAACTGACCAAGAATATACACGATATATGGATTCAAAGTACTCACCRGCCACTGACAGTACACGGCAACCGAGCGGGAGGCAGCTGAATGATACAAAATAACAACAATAACAATGAAATTATGACACTCTCGATAAAGCTCTAAAATTTTTACCGCCACTGATTCGCCTTACTGTGCCGTTGTGTTTTGTTGTGTAGAAGGAAGCAAAGTGTTTTCTTAATGAAGCAATTGACAAATATTTTCTAGGCTATTGTTTATGCGTACCGAACTGCCTACAAACATATTTACATATTTACATACATATGTGTTCATATAGAGCATAACAGTGAAATTGATAAAGGTGAGGGTGGATAGGGGGAGTTGTGAAATTTAAATGGTTTKCATTAAGGTGGTATAAAAATATATAGGAGGCAAATAAAAAAAACAATGACCTGCTTAAGGGGTTATATAGAGTTAGAATTTTCGAAAGATCGACTATTTTTATTTTTTTTTTCTTATTGTCCATATACATATTTATCAGAAAATGTCATATCGTTCCGGTGAATATTTTCGAAGTTACACGCAAATTTTAAAAGGCGTTTCAGAGCACTTGAAAGCATTTTTTAAAATAATTTTTTTTTTCAAAATGGCGTTTTCAAAATCGGTGACCAACATTACTCGAAAACCGCTAAACCGATTAGTCACACATTTTAACACGAGCTTCTTAAATATATTATATATTTTTTAGTAATTATTTTTTCTCACCGATACAACATTTTTTATAAACAATTTAAGCCCAAAAAATTTTGTCAAAAACGATTTTTCTTTAAAAACCGAAATTTTGTCAAACAAATTATTTTGCTTATTCCCTCGTTTAATTACTAGATTTAACATTACTTTAACGAAATCTGTTTGATTTTTTAATTTCAGAGGTTTCAATTTAGAGATATAGTGGTGAACCCAAAACGTATTTTTTGAGAGGAGCTCTCGGAGTTCAGCTGTAGCTSCTTTMCAAATAAATATTTTTACTAATACTAAGTCTTAAAATAYAGTTAAAAGATACCTTAATATGTGGACAAATTTTAGATCAATAAATYCGATTAATAATAAATAAATTGTAATAAATTTAAATTCTCAGAAAAGAATWTTCGAAAATTCGCTTTTTCGGGTTTCTAACTGTATATAACTCCTTAAAAAATGAATTGAAGCTCAAACCAGGACGATATAAAGAAAGTACAATAATCTGCTCCAGAAATGCAACCCTGTGCTGTTCACAATAAATCGAATATAATAAAAATAAACCTTTTGTTTCCATTGTTCCTTCTGTGCCACCTTCTGTCRGTTGAATAAAATTATTATCACTTCCTACTGTCCTAAGAGACTAACAAAAAATATATATTATCTTTAATGACAATAAATTTTACGAAACTTCAAAACCAAATACAAATTTCRCAGCCTTAATACTCAACTAAAATTGTGCAACAAAGAGATCTACATACATCTGCTGGAAACTGTCATATCCAACATTATCTTTTTAATGAACTAACAAAAGCTAAACAACTACTCTACTTTTTGACACCCAAATACTATTCTTACTTAAATATGYCTACCTACATATATGTATGTACATATATATTGTGTAAGCTTTCTCTTCTCTCCTATTTTTGGAACTTATAAAAAAAGTTCACCAACAGTTGGAACAGCTTAGCAGTCGCACCGACTKTTGGGCGAGTAATTTTATTTAATTGAAACGTTTATTTCAAATTGAATGATATATTGCCTGCACCCTATTCTTATTTATAAATACATACACACATATAAATTCGTTGTGGAGCATATGAAGACTATACGGTACAAATTTCGACATGGCTCTTATATTAAACAGATCTACATATATCGAAATATTTGGTCTGACGAGCGCTTCCCTTGCAGACAGCGTTATTTTGAAAAGCTCTTCTCCAGTAACTAGTAGGAAAATGTATTGAGAGGAGACAATCCAGTGAGAGAGTTGCTCCTAAATATATTATAGTATGTTTCGATTTCATGAAAGGTGTTAAATTTTAAGCTGCATCCAGATTGATTTTTMGAGAATTTTTCACAAGCCGAAATTAATTCACAGAGGTCACCTGAAGAGATTAGATTTTCTATACACAGCTCAATAACTAAAAACATATCAATCTTAATCCCAAGTCTTATTCCTAATTATACAACTGTAGATATCCTTAAATACAAAATGAGAGAAAAACTTTGCAGTGCTCTTTCCTACAGGGTATATTGAATATTTATGTAAATAAAAGTGTTATAATTTTCAAGTGTGAAAAATTAACAACTAATCATGAAAAGAGACGACGCCGAAAATATAAACTATGTGTGTATGTTTATTGGTGTGCAGAACATTAGGGCGGTGTGATATTTGCTGAAAAAGACATTTAAAAATTATTTCAATTTCATTTAGGTATTATTTCGTGATTTGCTGTCAAATTTAAATTGATTATAATAATTTTTTGTATATTTATGGTAAATAATATATTATTTTCCGTAAGAAATTACAAGTTTTAACCAATATGTGTRGTATATAAGCTGGATATTTTCAATTTTCAAAAGTGTACCACATACTCTGACCATCTCTCGACCGCTCTGGCGACACTCGGGTATACGTACATAAGTGGAACGGACCCGGATTTTTACCTGGGAAAAGATTGTCAACTGGGCMTAATTTTAACGCTACAACAACCATCGCTGAGTGACATCACTTTGATGTTTGGCCATGACCTACCACTCTGATTGTTCCACAATTTCTAAAGTTCTAAGATTAACAGATGGCTCATATGTATGTAGCTCTCTTATCGGGGCAATACTTAAAGACCATTCTTAATTCATTTGTTGATTATATATAGTATATTTATTTTTATATATTTTATATTGCGACAAGGTGTGTTTCAATGTAAACAGGAATTTTTTAATCTAGCGCCCCCTGGTGCAGCCATCTGTATGTCGACTGGTGCATTAGAATATGCTATTTTGATCGATTGTCCAGTGMGAATTTCATGACATTTCATTGATTGGAGGTGAAGTTATTTCGTTTTAAGTGTCAGTATGTTTGTGTTATTGGCGCAAAAATGAGTTTCGAACAAAGCGCCAACATTMAATTTTGTTTTAAAATTGGTAAAACTTTAACCGAAACGTTTTAATTGATGAAATAAGTTTATGGCGGTGATTGCCTATCCCGTAGCAGAGTGCACGAGTGGTTTCAACGTGGTTTCAAAGTGATCGCGAGAACATAAATGACGATCAACATGTGAGCCAATCAAAATCCTTGATCACCGGAAATTTCATCGAAACTGTGCGTGAATGCATCAAAAATCAGCCGAAATGATCATTGAAATTCATGGAAATGGAATTGAACATCTCCAAGACATCGCTTTATCGCATTTTAACCGAACATTTGGACCTACGAAAGGTGTGTGCACGGTTTGTTCCGCACAAACTGACTGACTACCAAAAATTGCTCAGATCGATCAACGTTTGTGACTGATTATTTGACCAAAAATCWCATTTTAACCATTAACCACTTCCCGTATTCACCTGATATGGCATCGTGCGACTTCTCCCTTTTCGGAAAAATTCATTTGCCCATGAAAGGAAAGCGTTATGCAGACGTAGAGGCCATACAAAAGGCTTGCAGCGGCATACYGGCGGCCATACCGGCCAACGAGCTAAAACACTCGTTCGACATGCTTTTGGACCGTACAAATGMAGCAGAAGAAGACTATTTTAAATTAAATAGATTGATTTTGCCGGAAAATCCTTTTTTTTTTGTTTTTGTAATTCCTGTTTACTTTGGAACACACCTTGTATATTACTGAAAAGATCCAATTAGTTATTAATAATACCTACAACCTAAACTTATTAATCTTGGCTTTATTTGACTTTCCATTAAAATCGGGTTTTGTGCTAAGTTATACAAGTACTACATGTAATTCAGAAAACTATAATGATTTACTGCTAACAAATATTWGACAAAGACCTAGTGCAAAGCTGCTTAGCAATAGCGTTTCAATCATAAAAATAACCCTTTGGTTATCTGTATTTTACCAAATCATATCTCTTTCAAACAAAATGCGCACAAGCCATCCTAAGTCAAATCAATACTGCAACTGTGTTTCTTCTTACTTTACAACAAAAACACAACATGTTCTGAAGTTTTGTGCATGGGATTAATAGATTGATCGAATGTTTTACCATTATAGGTAAAGCGTGTATAGGGTACACTGTTGATCACTTTGAAATTCTGCGAACGACCAGCCTTTTGTGAGAAAATGGAGGTAAAGATTGCAGTCACAGCTTTGGGACGCTTATCCYGTAGTTGGGGATGCATTTCATTGACACCAACACCTTCGGAGAGCTCACGCGCCAACTGTATGGTGTAGCGCGATAATTGACTTGCGATACCACGACGACCCCATTCTTGTAATGTTGAAAGGAACATCAATTCCAGGAGTGTGTCAATTTTATAGAGCTCAAATACATCGGTCTCCGAATCTACCTCAATCATAAAGTCCATAAGGGCCTGAGCTTGTG